TGAAACTTTACCTACTTAAGATGTAACTGGGATCATGGAGCAGAAGAAATACAATAGTGTTGTCCAACAGCACTTATTTAAAACCCTCTATCTCTCTGTAAGTGCTGAAATGTAGAATAAAATACATTTTATTGTAACGTAGGGTCCTGAAATTATTGTACAGGTGCATAGTTCTTTCCAACTTGCATAGAACTTTCACCTCTAATCCATACTATGTAACACTGAATTTTGTATAAATCATAATTAGACTCTTCTAGGTAATTTTTGCCCTTTGGGAAAAAAATCATCAAATGCTCAATACTCTTGGCAAAAAAACACCTTAGAATTTCATCTAAGTTCTCTAAGCAAGCTGTACAATTCATTATCATTGTAATTGTTTACAATAATGTCAAAAGCCAAGTGTAATGAGAAAAGTATTGAATTATATGTCCATTGTCTAGGATAGTTCACCTGTTCTGCTGTCAACAAATAGTGTGCAGCTACCTAAGCTGCAAATCACAGGCACTCTTTCTAATCTTTCTCCATCTTCAGTTAAATCCTTCCAATTGTTGTTGCCACCTTCTTCCCTGCATTCCTTCATTTTCATTCCTATCCACTGACTCTAAGTGACTAGGCTCTTTAAATTGCAAAGTCAGTGTCATATGATACAGATCATCTGAAATTCAACTTTCCACTCCTCAATATTCTGTGTTCTAAACATTCTATGCATTTTTTTCTTTGAAGTTATGATTCCTTTTCTTCTTAGCAATAATTGTACTTTTTCAGACCTCAATATTTTCCCCTTTCTTATTGACTTCAGCATATTTCTATTTATATCGTGCCCTTACCTCTGCTATCTCCATCTGCTCCTACATTGTACATATAAATACAACCAAGCTTTTCACATCTGATATAATAGCTTCCTAAGCAACTTGCCAAGCTTCCTTCTTTACTGCATACTAAGCTTGTTAGAAGAGCAGATTCCACTAGATACACATATTCCCCAAACACTTAAGCTTCATGCCTTGCTTCTGGTTCATTGTAAGATTCTGGGAAGCATAGGCGGTAACTGATAATCTTTTCATCAATATAGTTGACTTGTTATGTGTCATTGCCTTCTGTTTCTCAACATAGGCTAACTCTATGGACATTTACACATTTACTCACGTGTCTATGTGTGTATGTGTGCATGTGTAGGTTCTATCCAGTGAACCTAGAAACTTTCCTTGGCTGCAAAGACTGTAAGCAAGAAAAAATCTGGTTCCAATGCTCATGAGGCATCCAATCAAATAACTCAAACCAGTGTATTCAAATGGATACATTAAATAGATTTCATTTTGAGTTGCTGTAAAAGTATCGTGAAAATTGATATTATGGGGAGAAAAATAGGAAAGATATATATATATATATATATACTCTATTAAATAGAGTGCAAATCTGAGGAATGAATAGCTATTAAGTAAAGAGGAAAAAAAACAGAGGAAAGAAATCAAAGTCTCTAAGGTAAAAACAAGTTTGAGATCGAGAAAAATAAGATTGACGTGATTGGAAAATGATCAGAGAAAGTAGCAAGCAATTAGAATGAAGTGAGAATTATAACTGCTTATGAAGAACTACATTATTGTAATTAATATGGTGAAAATCGGTTAAGGGGAGGGAATTTGGGGAAGGGATAGGGAAATCTCAGACTCTATGGAATCGTACCATGAAATTCAAAAAAAGAAGAAAAAAAAAATGAGAGGCACAGGCAAAAATCACTCTCAGGCCAAGGACGAAGTTTTGTGTTTCCTCTCTATTGCATTCAAGCCCACAGAAGGTATTTTAACTTGAAAGTAATATTCAATTTGCATTTGCATTTGCGTGCTGTCTGTGCTAAGTGCTGAAAGGTGAGTAGTACACAGGACTGGAAACAGAAGAATCAGCTATGGCACACAGTTTGGGTTTAAAATGAGAACAGTTTGGCATGGAATGATTATAGTGTCTACAGACAGAAACAAGTTGATTTGTGATATATTTTGGAAACAGAATCTCCAGAAGTGAATGACATATTTGGAGAAAAAGGAGACCCCAGCATCGAAACAGCGTAGGAGAATGAAGGAGAAGGATCAAGGGAACAGATCCAAAGTCCTGTTTGGGCATCCTCCTCCTTGAGTCCTCCTCTTAGATTTTTCCTATCTTTTTAACTTTTTTTCTTTCCAACAGTTTAAATTTCTGTTTTCTTGCCCCAAGATGAAAAAAAAATCTGAAGGTGTTTCTTAGGCATGCTCCGTCCTCTCCATGCAAGCCCTTTTCCAGTTTCCCCAGCTTGAAAACTCCCACTCTAAACACAAGATGCTACTGGTTCAACCCGAATTTGAGCTGTAGCTCACATCTGCAGTTGTTTTAGGAGTCATTCTCTTCAGCTGACCCCCTTTTACTTCCGATTCAAGTCAAACTTTAAATGCATGCTCTCCATACCTACATGTGGATTCTATACCAAGATTATTTTTGTAACTTCCTATCTTCCAATTTCCATTGTCTCTCCCATTCTGTCAACTAACACATGACCTGCATAGCAATCTTCCTAAATAAAAACACTAATCATTTCAGCTGGGTCTAAAATATTCAGTGGTCCCTTATCTTTGTACTCATTCCAATTTGCTTATAAGCATCTTGAATGCTTCTTATGATCTGACCTCAATCTATCTTCTTCCTTGATTCCCAAACAACTGAAATGGTTTGCCATTCTAGAAATACATCCAACACAGCCATAATTCTTTTTTAAAATTTATTTATTTTTATTGAAAAGGCAGATTTATAGAGAGAAGTAGAGGTGAGGTACCGTCATAATTGTATGCCTTTGCCCTCCACATTTATGCTGCCTTTCCCTTGTCATATGGAAAACTTTCTTCCACAAAGTGCAAAACGATGTCTCTCTCATCTCCTAAACTCTAAGTTCTGTTGATATTCCCCAATAGAATACAAGTCTTCAATGACTGAGGAGAGACTTTCCTTTCTCTTCTATTCCCACACTGCATCTAGTGTACATACAGTATATAGCAGGACGGACAAGAGTAAATGTTAAGTTGAGTTGACATATTCCATCTGATGAATTTATAATGTTCTGAGTATGCAGATACATGCAATTATGTGAATAATTTGATCTTAAAGGAATATGTGAAAATTCTTACTTTTTATTTAAATTTGATTACAGAAATGAAATCTTCACTTCAGTATAAATGAGCCTTTATAGAACTTAATTTAAGAAGTAACAAATTAAACAGTCCTCAAGTTTTTAAACTGTTACACATTTTCACTTCTTCAACATTGTCCCTTTTTTTAGAGTCCCAGCAAAGAGCAGTCTTTACGGGTACATTTAAATGCTGAGATATAATCAAAAATTTACCTGACAGTTACTCTATCAACCAAAACAAACACAAAGCTATTTAAACATTAGATTGATTTTTCTAAACTGAAAGCTCTGTCTTATTTCAAGTTTTATGCAAGTTAGCAAATTGTGACTAGCTAAACTGCAAGGAAATCCCATCGAGCTAAAGCTTGCCTGGCCTCTAACGATAAAATCAAGCTTGGCGATATGAGAAATGAAATGGTTGCAACCTGTAACAAGGGTGAGCATTTTGCCTAGTGTTGGAGATGGAGACACTGGTTAAGATGAGTTGGTTCAACACACACTTCTGCAGCTTTTTCTAGTATTATTTTAGTGTAGACCATGAGAGGCAGTAGGGATGGCTTTTGTATTTGGTTTCCTAATCTGTACATGGGCAATCTGAATTCAGTTCATGATACTATGGCTTCAATCCCATCCGGCCCATGGGGGATTAAACCAGCACACGGAGGTTCTCTCTCTTTCTCTGCCTATCTCCTGCAAATACATAAAATTCTGTAATAAAATCCCCACCTATTTTCAACCTAAATGTTCTGGGTAACTCCTTATAAGTAAAAGAAAGAAAACATATTAACTAGTTTCTGAGTAATTGCTTGCATCTCTACTCTTCACCTACCTTAATTCACCTCTTCAAAACTTTTTTTCTAAAACAAAAGTTCCTAGCCTTTAATTTCCTGATAACTTCTTTACTTTTATGCAAAGATTAGAGCAGTGACAGAAAACTAAGGCCTGACAATGCCTTCAGGAAATTTCAAACCCTTTTTAAGATCCTAATTAAAACTCTGTGAAGAGACAACTTTATTCTAAGTTTTCCCCAAATCATCTTTGATACATAAATATCTCCTAATAAGTTATCTACAATGATATATGCATACCTTACCTGGGGTAAAAGTTCAAAACCATCGCTTTATTGTGAATAATAATCATTACTAACTGCTGTAAAGAACCTTTATGATAATAGCAGTACATTATCTAATTTAAATCACACAATCACCTTACAAAGTAAGCATCATTAACCCCATTTGAGAGCTGACAAAAGTGATCATGAGTTTAAGAAATGGGCCAGGAGTCATATAATCAGTAAGTCAAGGCAATAGGAAGTCAGCTCTCCAGTTAGAATCTCCAGTTAGAGCCGCCTCTCCAGTTAGAATCTAGCATCGCCTGCTCACACAATAGTTACTTGGTGTCTGGCTATTCCACAGGAAATCACCACAAAACAGTTGGGAGACACGGTCTTTGCTTTAACAAATGCTGTGACAGCAGGTATCCGGTTTACAGCTGAGGCCCCATATTGGTCCACATTCCTTATCATATTCAGCTCTGGCTCCTGACTCAATTCCTGCTAATGCAGACACAGCGATGACTCAAGTGGTTGGGTTTCTATCACTGCTAAGTGAGACCTGGATTAGGTTCGCAGCAACAGGTTTCATCAAACCCAATCCACGCCTACTGCAGGCATTTGAGCCATGAACCAAAGAGCTGGAGGGCTCGTCTGACCCTTTTATCTGTCTGTCTGTCTCAGTCTGTCCCTCTGCCTCATAAATAATTACATAAATAAGCAATAGAATGCATGGTTTATTAAATTGATATGCACTCTTCCTTTTTCTGTTAATTTATTTGCGTAACTTTCCATCAGTTACTGGAAATCTGCTGCACTGTCTGTGATGGTTGCTGGCTTTGCTGAGACACACCAGAAACGCTTCCCTCCTAGGGAGAAACACCTTTCAGGCAAAATTGTCATGATTTCCTCCATGCCCTGCATCCATCTGGTTCTTCAGGATGCCTTTGTTGGAGTGGCTGAAACTCTGGTAAACCTTGCCTGTGAGTAACTTTTCTTTATGAAGTCAAATGAGAACATCGTGGACCTTTGCACAGAGCATGTCAGCTCAACAGGGACAGCTGCAGCAACCAGGGAACCACCCCTGGGAGTTCACACAAAACTGCATCCTAAAATGTTTCATTTCTCTGCCTTCCACTACCTCATACAGATCAACTATGAATTCTGGCAAGGTATAGTTGGGATGAAAAATTTACTAACTTAGTTAAAGGCTATCATCATTTGGTTAACAAGAGGGGAAAAAAATTAAAACTTAGTAAGACAACTCCAAAATACTCAGAGCAAATCACCCTTCTTGGATTCCTCTCTACATCTCTCTCCCTCTCGCTCATCCCTGATAAGATGAAATTTAATATATTGTGAGCATGTATAAACATGCAAATGAAATGAATATTTGAGCCAATTTTTCAGATAACTCAATGTCTTTAAATTAAATTATACTTGATTAAATGTGATCACTAATGTTGTATAAGATACATTCAAAATAATTTTATTTAATATCAAAGGTTTCTGGATTATCTAGATTGCTTATATTAATTAAACTAACCACATTAAAATTTATAACACCTAAGTGACTTCTTACAGTACAATAATGGGCATGTGTGTCTGTATATTTAATCAGTATAATTGATCACATCTTATGTTTCTACTTGCCTTATATTTTCCTGCAGTAGGATACCTGGTCTTAACTGAAGACCTCATTATACTTCACCAACAATATTTTTATAACTTTTGTCTTTCTACCTCCAAATGTCTTTCCTGTTTATTAAGCAACATATAACCATTAGAACACTCATCCCATACAAAATCTTTAAGTATATACATTTTAATAACCATATACTTGCACACATACACAAATATGATATAAAGTAATTTACTTAAACATTTGTATGTAGTTATTGTCACAATATATAAGTCAGACTTCCTTTTTAGTCATGCTATATCACTTAATTCCATATATTTTACAACAAGAGATTATTACATAAAATTCTGTTATGAGAACATCATTGTTATATGATTAAGAAGTGTGAACAATCTTTCCTGATGACGTTTCTAGAAAAATTTTGAAAGTAGGCAGCAAAATTATTTGGGCAAGATGTAGAGTAAGCTCATAAAGGAATATAATAAATGAATACCATGGCAAATTAACAAGTAGCTTACAAAAATGATTCAACAATCAAAAGTCAGTTGACACTGTCAACTATTAAAAAGGCAGAACATATACTATAAATCATAGTCATCCTTCCTTGATTTGCTCATGGGTAATTTCATAGGTAAATTTGGGGTCTGGATAAGTTATTTGACTTATTTTCCATAGAAGTGATGAGCAAGGCATCAGAAGATTTGGTTTAATCTCCAAGGTTTCATTTACCACCTCTGTGATCTTGAGAACTCATCTAACCCCTAAGATTGATCTTTATGATCTCTAGAATATAAATAAATATCCTTTTTCCTCGTACTACAGCGTTAGAGAATGAAGCAAGGGAAATGAGAGAAGATTTGTGTATTTATGTATTGAAAGCCAGAGAATTAAAATAAGAGGGGGAAACAGAGAGAGATCTTCCATTCACTGGGTAACTCCCCCAAATGGCTGCAGCAGCCAGAGGTAGACCAAGTTGAACCCAGGATTCAGGAGCTTCTTTTGGGTCTCTTACACGGGAGGCAAGACCCAAGTACTCAAGCATCTTCTGCTGTTCTCCCAGGCACATGAGAATGGAACTGGATAGAAAGTGGAGCAACCAGGACTTGAACCAGTAGCCTATTGGATGCTGGTGGTACAGGTGATGGCTTTTCTCACTATACCACAATGCTGTCCCCAAGAAGCTACTTTTTAAAAGTTATATGGCATGAAATGTGAAAGAAAGTGTTGGCCTATGAAATCAAGTATTGTTCTAACAGGAGGTCATATAGCATTATGGTTAAGATCTATGACCTTCACCCCCCACCCCAGATTCCCACCCCCAACTGATTTTTTCCCATGTTATTACAATAGTCTAGTCCTTCATAAGAAGTCCTAAGTCCATCAGTCTGTACAGACTGTACAGACAATGTCAGACATTCCAGCATCCCCTTGTTTATATATGTCCAATAGATGGGAGTCCATCTTTGATTTGGAAGTAGAAATGCATATTGCATTATATCTTTCCACCTGAAAACGATAGTCTCGATTACTCCGTTACCATACATTCCTTTAAATGAGAAGTCATAAAACAAAGTCAACAACAGGTATGAAGTTAAAACAAAAAATTTACAGCACCATGGAGTCGAAAAATGTGCCACTGAATTCATAATAATAAAAAAAAAACATTAAAAAAAATCTGTGGTCTTTAAGTTGGACCTGAGTGCAAACATAATTCTGATGCTGACCTTGGAAAAATTTCTCTGTATTTCTGATCCTTTCTCACCATTGATAAAATGATTAACTGCTGCTTAGAGGATGATGTAAAATTATTTTATGGAAAGCAAGAAACATAGCACAAAAATTATCAGCTATTGAGTGGATATGCTATTATTTTTCCACATGAATTAACAGTGTTAGACATAAGACTTAAGGTCAGTTATGCTGCTCTTGGCTCTTGTTACTACCAAAAATTCAAATATCAGAAAGCCTAGTAGTGTAAGCAGAATTGTCATTCTCACAGAGTCCATGCTTTCCTTTATCTCACCTGCAATTCAAAGGCAATTCTTACTCTTTACTTGGCATACAATTCAGACCTGGCTAAGTCTCACCATCTCTGATCATTCTCTTGGAGTTCAACACAATCATCTTTCAGCAGAACCTCTCAACTGTGTCTGCTTCCTCTCTGGAAACATTTCTCTTTTAAAGAACTATAATGTTTTTCTAAAGGTGTAAGTCCTACCATTCCACTACCTTCAATTGCACCATAGAGCAAATTCCTTACAGTAGTGAAAGACACTACAAGAGTTCGCCCCTGAATACAGTTCCAGGTCCTTTTGGTTCTGTTCTGATTGTTGACCCATAATGACATCTACAGCTACTTTTCAAATATAGTACTCAAATTATCGTCAACAATCTGTACTGATGACATTGAGCAAGAACATACAGTGGGTCACTCCACAGACACCAGTGCACATATTTTATCTGGCTAGGCCCTTTGTACATTGGAGATGAGCTGCAAGAGAGAAAAAAGAAAGCAATAGAGTGTTTTTGCAATGTTTTAGCTGTAGCAGCAGCTACCTTACTCATTTTGTAATTGCTCATTTGTTTTACAAAATATTGTATGGGCATCTACTGTGTGCTTGACACTGCTGCAGGAGCTGAAGATACGTCGGCAAGAAAACTCAAACAATAAAAACCATACAGAAATTCTGCTGAAGTAGACTTTATAGTGTTTTTTTGTGGTTGAGTAGCAACCAGCAAGTTGGAAGGACAGAAGGTGGCAGTCACAGGAGGAAGTACTGAGTTGATTCAGAGCATGGTTATTGACTCAGGGCACGGCTGGCAAATATTTTTCAATAAGTTTCAACTAGTAAATAGGCTTTAAAGGCTGGTCTTTATTTAACAATGTCATCATGGTGCCACAGCAATCATGGACAGCATATGATACTGGCTGTGTTTTAGAAGAACTTTTCAAACACCTGTGTTGAGTTGGACATTATCTGATCATAGTTGAGCATCCCGTGGGTCTGCAGTGTGAAGCATACGCTGTGATCATGAGTAAAAGTGGAGTAGAAACTAAGATACAGTAGAGGATATGCATACAAGAGATCAGGAAGTGAGAAAGCAGGATTTGTAAGTTTGTCTGGAAGGATGATCTACATATATGTTAATGTTGCTGTGGATTAAGCCAGGAGTAGTGTTTGTGCGACAATGAGCATTAGCCACTGAAAAGCTTGACAAACAGGAACAAATATCCTGGAGGTTGATGGGTAATAAGGTAATAGATGATACAGCCTGATATCATGAGATTTTAAAGATGAAATTTCTTAGGAATAATGGTTTGAAAGTGGAATAGGAGAGAGTTCCATTTTCAGAGGCTGTGATACTTCTTTACTTGTTCCAAAGAGCATCTCACTGCACACAGTAAAATGTTTTTGCTGCCTGCGCACAATCGGTATGAAAAAGAAAAGTTTGAACCATGGAGCCAAGTAGCAGGTGCCTAAGGACTGTGGTTATGGCCCTGTGTTTTGCAGATTCTGCATGTGCTGTGAAGAGGTGTCTTTGCAGAAACTAACCAGCTACTACCTGGAGGCACATCTTTAGCTCTCATTGGCAAGAAGACTGTTTCACTTTGAATAATTCTATTGTGTCTTCATAGTATAATGGGAATTTCAGTGTAGTGACAAGCTCGTTGTTAATATCTTTGCTATAAGAAGCTGAAAGAAGTATCTTGGAATGTAAGAAATCAAGTTGATGATCACTAAAGTTGAAAAAGATCAGAACGTGCAAGGTAGATGCTTGAAACCAGAGAGTTAAGGACGTGAAAAAGCTAGGTCCTACAAAAAAGGGAGCTGGAGGCTTAAAAAAAAAAAAACTACTAAAATGACACCAAAGAGAGATTAACCAGCAGGCAGAGAGCTGGCAAAGTGTGTTCATGAATTATATACCACACCAGAAGTTCTAGCAAGAGAAAGCATAGAATTTATAATTTACTAGCAAAGTAATAATGGGCTTGTACATTCTGCCTTTTCTTGGGAAAAGCAATAGACCCACTTGCTCTTTCTGCAGGTATTTGTCTTTCCATATTTACAGAGAGGAAAGTTGAGAAGCCCCATCATTTCTGTATCTGTGAAGCATTTCTTCCCAAAGCATCTTCTGTGTTACCTAATGCCATCATTTGGGTCTTCCTTGGAATTCTCCAAAGAGTAGACACAACCCCAGCTTCTGTTGGTGATTTGTGCCTGGCGAAGAACTGAGTCACTACTATCAGGACTGGAAGCACTTCTTGCCAGTCCTGTATTCATACCCATTGTATCTTCATCTCCAATCAGTATTTATAGCATCTTGGCACTTGTTGGGCACTGCCCTTTTTAACATGCTTATTCCTGTTTTCTGCCTGCCCACCTCCCCGCCCCGCCAGAGTTTAAAATCCAGAAAAGACCAACTAACATCTTTTCGTACTATCACCACACACCAGAGCCAGGTACTTCATGCTGGTCTGCTACATAGGTGTCAGAGGTCAAAGTACTGGCTATCTCCCCTTCCTTCCCAGGCACATCAGTGAACAGGGAGCTGCCATGGAAGCAGAAGAGCCCCTACAACCAACCAGCACCCCAACAAGGGAGGTTAGCATTGCAAGCAGTGGCCCAACCATGCTGTGCTTTAATGACATCTCCTTTAATTGCAACTTTGAAACCTTTTTTTTTTTTTCATGATTTTCTTGCAACCTCATACGATCATCATTACTAATCCTGTAATAATGACTTAGGAAGAAAGAATAACCATACTGGAGACTCAAAACTTAAAGTATGACTCTGTCAGGGTTATCACAGGACATTATAATCAAAGACCTTTGCTCAGAACCTGGCCCAAGTGGAAGCAATTAAATTTGGTAAGCTTTATAGTGTTAAAATAGCTAACCTTTCTTCTATATCCACAATCAGTGCTGTACTAAGCACCTAATGTCCACGACATCAAGTCTCACAGAACCTCTGCATGTGACAAATGATACTGATCGCGCACTGCAGAGAGGGACAATGAGACCTAGAAAGTGCAAGTGTCTTATCTAAAACTACTGAGAAAGTAGATGATTGTCATGGGATTTTAGCAAAAGGTAGTCTTACTCCATGCTCTTAGCCTCCATGCAAATGTTACCCAATAAATCCAGGCTCTCTTTAAGAAAACTAATGATTTACACCAAACCACAGAATCATAGCTCTCACTGACAGATTGTCATGATATTATCTAGTACAGGTCTTAGTTCAATCCAAAATCCATCAGAAATACTCAACTGGGAGTGAAATTTAAGTGAATAGATTAGGACAGTCATCCACCAAGTAATCAAATTCTCTTCATAGCTCTCTAAGGGCAAGTTTTACATTATTTTATTTTTTGGAACACATCTTTAAGCTGTATCAAAAATATATCTTACTATAGTAGCATCAACAAAGTACAATGCAAATTTGCATCATTGAAAAGATTGTTTCTGGCATCTAAACAATTTGATTCATTCAAACGGTACCTTTGAAAGTGTTTTAAATGTTCTAAGTTCTGACCTCCTCTTTTTTTTTTTCTCAGTTTCTATGATATCGTCCAGATATGTTCCCAACACCATCAGAAAACTTTCTATGAATGTTTCGACCCTACTCAATGGAGTTGGTTGTTTAACAGGTGCACTTCTGTGAAGCTGGTTTATCTCATTTCAGAAGGTAAAAGCAGATTCACGGTACGTATATGGTATGTGTATTCATGGTATGTATATGTATATGGATTTTATGACTAGGGAACTCAGGAACAAAACTTCAATAGAAGGGTTTTACCAGTAACTTTTTTTTAATTGATCCACTTTTGCAATTAAGATAGAATTAAGATAGGAAATAGACTCTTGCTGTATTCATTAATTTCTGGGAATTGTTTTTCTTTTGATAGGAAGAGGTAATTACAGAATGTCACTTCTCATGAGACACTGTCTGCCACCTTTCTTTAGTATAGTTTAAACAAACTGGTCATTATGTTATTAGGTTTTTCGATGAGATCATATTTAATAATGATTTGTAACTGGTATGGACAATTCTTAGAAAAATTAAAACCTGTATGAATGCAGGAGGGGATTACATTGTTTCTTTATAATCTACAAAGAATCTTATCTAAGGATCTTGTCTATATAGCTTAAGAGTAATTGTGAGTTGAACAGCAAATTATCTTGGAAAGTTTTCCAAGCAGAGATTTTGGTTAACAGAATCTAAAAATCTGAAAAATTCAAATGCAAACATCAATTTATTCATTTTTAGTTACAAATATTGGTGAAAAAAAATCAGACAGGCTGGCGATAATGATGAACTGCCACAATGAAATGTCTTTAGTTATTTCCAAATTGAGGGACCTTTTCTTTATTTGTTCTGAAATGTTCATATAACTTACATTTTATTTTAATTTACTTTTGCTTATCTTATGGAGAATATTACAAGCCTTTTTCTTATCTATGTTCACAGATTTATATACTTTGAAGTAAATAAAGATATGTTGTTCATATTATCTTTTTAAAAAAGCAAATTTAATTTACCTGCTTTCATACTATAGAACAAAATAATTTTGATGTGAAAAAAAAATTAGTCTTAATACCAAGTCCCCTTTCACAAAATATTTATCAAGGACTCACTCTGCTCCAGGTACTATATTGAAGACTGGGACTCAATAATAATAAAACCTTCTAATCTCCCACAAAACTTTCAGAGGGCAGGGAAACAAACAAACAAAAAATTAAGAATGATAAATGTGGGCATTTAGCACAGCAGTTGTAGTTCCACTCCTACACTGTTGCCCAGATCCTTGGTGACGGATACTCCAAGAGGCAACAAGTGATAGCCCAAATGTTTGGCTCCCCATAACTCACATGGGTGATCCAGGGCTTCTTGCCTCAGCTATGTCCAGCCCCAGATGTTGCAAGCCTGTGGGGAGGGGAACAGCAAGTGGAAGATCTCCCTCTTTGTTTCTAGCTTTCAAAAAAGTAAAAAACCAATGGATGCTAAAGGATATAATAAGCAAGAGAACAGACACTGTAGATTCTAAGAAAAAAAGATGCTAATCTTCAATGGATGGCTGATCAGACCAGGTCTTACCAGAAAAAGTTAAGCAAAAACACACCTTGAATATTTACTTTAGGTCATGCTCTGTGCTACAAAGAATTGTGTAATATATGATTTCAGTTCTCAAAGCTCTCAACTCCAACCCAATATAACTAACTTACTGAACTGCACCAAGTTGACAACTTCTGTTATATACGAAGAGGTCTAGTACTGCCTCAAAGATTTTGTAAGATGGACTGGAAAAGCTTTACCGAATTCTGTAACCAAAATATTTTAAGTGTTGTACTTATATTTTCTTTCTTCACTTTACTCAATGGAGATACTTCTAAAAAAATTGCTAAAAACAATTTTCTACAAGGATTAGTGTTAGGCATAGTAAGTCAAGTCTCTGCCTATGGCACTGGCGTTACATTTGGATGTGGGTTTTTCTCCTGGCTTCTCTACTTCCACTAGATCTCCTAGCTTATGACCTGTGAAAGCAGCAGAAGATAGTTCAAGTCCTTGAGTCCCTGTACCCACTTGGAAAGCCTGGAAAAAAAATCTTCTGGCTTTGGATTGGCTCAGCCCCAGTCATTGTGACCAATTTGAACCAGCAGATGGAAGATCTCTCTCCTCTCTGTAACTCTGCCTTTCAAATAAAAAGGAAAAAATATCTATAAACAAATTACATTGACATACTCTAAAACTACAAAGTCAAATATTGCTAACAGGGTATCTTTTATGTAAACCTAAATTTGGTCTAACCTGGAGTCAGACCAAGTATCATCAGTTAGATTATCTTCAATTCAGCTGGTATTTAGGTACAGCTACACGATTGCAGAGTCCCAGGCCTGCCATCACTTTTAACTAAACGTCTGTCGAGATGAGGGATTTCCTCAAGCTTGATCATCTGCTTAGATTGATTGCAGAACTTAAAAAGGCAAAATGTTTATGATTACAGATGCAACAAAGTAAAAGAATAAAAATCAGATTGAGTTAAAGGGAAAAACAGGCGAAGGCGAGCAGGAAGGTTTCAGAAGTGAGACCTCCTTCATCCTCATGGACCCAGCTCCCTGCCAACACACACCTGTGTGGCAATAGAAGAATGTTGCCAACCAGGAATGCCAAATGACCTTCAACATCCAGTGTTGTGGCTGTCTTCATCACAGTGACAGCATTGATGGAATTATAGCTTGTTGCTTCAACTCATTCTCTAACCTCCAACCCTTCCCAGAAGTTGGGCAGCTTGAATCTCCATCCCTTGGGTCAAATAGTTGGTCTTTCTCTCTGGCAGGCCCCCTCTTGGACATAAGCTCTCTAGGGTCTTTCTATGAGATAACTCATTGGCACAAACATAGGGTCCAAGAGACCCAATATAAATAACAGACACGCTAATCAAAGGAGAGTTTTTACTTCCCAGGAACCTGTTAAGACAATATTACACACAAGTATTCTTATAAAAATATTTCACAGAAAATCTAAATTTTCACTGACAATGTGACAGCTTTTAATTACATTACTGCACTTATTACAGCAATCTTGTAACTGCTATCCTTATTTTTAAAGTATAACAATTAAGGCAGAAAAAAATAAAGTGCTTTTGTAGCCTACTATTGTAGCAAAGAAAGACCTTCTACAGTCTAGAACAATTACTTACTTTGATATAGATAGAAAGTCCAATAGGCACTTTTCAAACATTTGGTAAATATTCAGAGAAATAACATGTAGTAATCAAGAGACTAGAGTCAGACCACCTGTATTCAAAGTGAGATTGTCTTTGTTTCCAGTGTCCATGTCATTAGTGACATAAATAATTCATTATGTTGTTCTGCGGATTAAGTAATTAATATGTAAAGTAAGTGCTCAATTAAGATAGCGATCATGATCTACTTCTGTTTCATGCCCAAATCACTCCTTACAGCGCATGATGTTTTTTTTTTCAATTTTTCCTTAACTAGCGTTCTTAAAGTATAGTTTCCAAAATAGAACAAATTAGTCAAGATAGATACAGCCAGGATAGGCATGTTACTTTCATTCTCTCTCACACAATCTCTCTCTCTCTCTGAATGCCAACAGAGAGTCTTTGACTTTTCCAGCAGATGTATCATGCTGATGGTCAATCAAAGCCCCAAACCATTTTTTTTTCCTTTGCAGCAATTGCCCTCAGTTCATTTCCACTCACCTTATTACAATTTTTCCTCCAATTAAGTGCAGGACTTTATTCTTAATAGATGTCAGCCCATCATCCTAAAAACAGACATTTTGAAACTTGATTCTGTCATGCACTGAATTACTAATCTTTGCTCCTTTACTAGTTTTGTGTCATCTGCAAATTTAGTAAGCAAGCTTCCAGACATCTTCCGGGTAATTGATAAAATTGTTGAATTGGGCAGGACCAAAAATAGAGCCTTACAGAAAATTCCTAGAGACTTCATGGCAAGTTAATGACAATCAATGATTCCTCCCCTTTGGATGTAATCAGCTCCCAATTCACCTAATTACACTCATTCAGCCCACACATTTCTCCGTCATTCCCTAAATGACATCACAGGAAACTCTGTCATGTTTCTCTGCAAATAGGATATGTCTGTGTTTGTGACAGACATGGATATACTCTATTCTTTTAGCTAGCAGGACAGCATCTATGAAGAAAGGAAACGAGGTTCATTTTGATGACTTGCTTCTAGTGATGCCATGCTGGTTTATACCGACTAATTAGTGTCCCTAAAAAGAATAACCCTTTGAAATAAGCATGACTCAGTGTGGGTCATTATCTCTCTAAGACTGCTTCATCTTAATTAAAAAAAAGAACACGATGCACTTCACTTTCTCATAGATGATGAGCGGATAAGATAAAAAGTTGGGAAAAATGTCAATGCCAGAAATTATTTTTCTTTAATTTTTATTTATTTGAGAGAAAGAGAGGGTTAGTTTCCCTCTGCTGGTTCACCTCTCAAATGTCCAAAATAGCCAGGGTTACTGGACTGGGTTAAAGTTAAAAGCCAGGAATTCAATTTAGTTGTTCGTTGTCAGTTACCGAATTGCTTGAGCCAGAATCTGAAATCACAGAAAGTTGTAGTGTGGGGCTGCACCCAGTCACTGAATTTTGGTACTATGAAACAGGACATGTCTGTCTTAACCATTGACTAACAGGCTAACTAGTCCTAATCTCAGAGATTTTATTTTTAATATAAAATTGGATCATGTATTAAAATGACCTCAGCTGAAAATGGGCTTAATCTATCCAAGCAATATTTTTGTCTTTGTTTTTTACATATATGACCATCATGAAGTGAAAGCTGTAAGTAAATATTTAGGAGCCTACAACCCTCAGCATTTCATTTAGCATGTAGGACATGTCCAGTCTTTAAGAACTCATGTCAGTTGAACATGCGTGTGTGTGTGTGTGTGTTAGTGTATCACTGGAAATGAAGGTCAGCTATCACAGCCTCTAAGCTGCATGAGTCATTTTTAGCACCATGACAGAGAACAGTGTGAATACAGTAAATTCAAAAGATTTCTCCCAACTTGACTATGCAGACAGATAACTGTTAGAGTGACATTTTCAGTACAAGTGAGAAAACGGATCCTTCTGGGATCTCTAACTCCGAGTGCTTTAAAGGAAAAGATAAAGACTAAACCCA